ATTCGCGTCCATGATAGTACCATTTTCTATTAAATATTATAACCAATACAAGTTTTGTAAAAAATCCAATACCAATACTTTAACATATGTTTTTCCCCTACTGATTTCTTGTATTCTAACTAACTCTTATCACTGTGTTCATATTTTTCCATTTCCAAATAAACAGAGTGATTCTTTTATGATAAACCACTCAATATCTCATAAGGTTTAATAAGATTTTAAAATTTTTTTTTCTATATTGTTCTAGTACAATGTGATCTCTATTTTTCACAAAAAGAGGATGGAGGGAGAGGAATTCATGAACTTTGTTTTTGCTATACTCTAAAATATTCATACATGGACTATTACCCTACGTCTCCTGTGACGTTTATGTGTTATATATTCATATTATATATCTTATGCATATAATAATTGTTTTATTTGCACATATAAATTATAATGTAATAATTATTTTAAATGAAACTATAGCATAAACCCTCATTATCCTATTGATATGACTCATCCGCCAAGACAGCTTCTGACTTTTTTTGGCAGTCATCAGGCGTACTTTAATAGTCCTTCCAGATACTTACATTCTGTCGTCGGTCATGACGTCATTCCTCAATGGATTTTTTAACCAGAGGGATTGTGTTCGGCTCGACGATTAATCCTTGTATATTATTCTTTGGCTAGTCGTGCAGTCTATTATCTACAGTTTAACATCTTTGTAATCGTTTAGTCTACGTTTCCACTGCAAAGAGTCATAGAAATGTTCGATGAAAACTATAGCGGTGTAAGTCGTTTTAAACTTAAATACAGAAAACAAGGGTTAATGAAAACTTTTGCATTGTACTTGTATTATAAACTTGTAGAGTACCATTGTACGGTGATAGAAAAAAAATATGTTAATATCTCAAAATCTATATTTTTTTTTCTTTTATAAAAATACCGATAACTGTCAAAAATGTACTCAAGATTGTCAACATTTTTTGGGCCATAATTTAAAATACTTTTTCATTATACATTTTTTAAGGGAAAATTCACATCAAAGCGTTTATTTAAAAATGATTTTATCACTTTCTGATAAAAAAACTTTTGTAGACCTGTGACCAACCCGTCTTCCCAATAATTTATCCCCATTATGCCTCAACCCCGCTTTACTGGCTTTTTTATGTTCTAAGCTTGAATCATAAATACACATTTTGTTTTTTATCATAGTAGCTTATCGTTTAATTTAAAAGAAATATTCGTTATAAAGTAGAATATTCAATTTGTGGTTTGCTTGTTATTATTTGTTTTATGATACATAAGCCATAACTGTTCAAAAATTTGTTTTGGATTTCAAAAATCTTGTTATTGTTTAAAGGCCACTGCAGATGTTTTTTTCATAGCTACGAGTATATTGTATTACTTATGTTAAAAATGTCTATAGAGCACACAAGCAAAATATAAAAACAATATCTTACAACATTTTACGGTTTATTGTTTATCTAAAACGAACGGTTTTTTAGCGTACTTAGTTTTGTTGCTTGTGTAGATAACAATTCAAATGTTTAAACTAATATGTTGCATGATTGTAAAACCCTGATATCCCAATAATTAAAGCGAAGAACTTTTCTGTACATAAATTGTAGGTACACGATATTAGTCTATTAAAAAGTATCCTATCTGAAATATTTATATTATTACTTAATATTACATTTTATTTGACTGTATAGACAATATATAACAATACTATTTTCTTAACAGAGTCGAATTATAGAATAAAGATGAATTATAATAATATATTAGGAGATCTGAAAATATGAACACAATAATAAGAGTGTGTTAGAATACAGGGAATCCGTAGGGTAAAAACATTTGTTTAAGTTTTATTATTGGGTATTAATAAAAAACTTGTATTGGTTATAATATTTGTAGAATATGAAAAACACAAAAAAAAATATATATATAACCAACAAAACTTGTTTTCCATAAAAAAAAATAATAATAATAGTAAAACTAGAAAAATATTTTTGTAAAATGCTAGAGTTTGTCTAAAGTAAAATCTTAACCGGGCTAAATGTTTCGAAATTGTTGTATGAATGTTTACATATATTGTAGCCATTTGAATAGGTGTAACAGATATTATTTTGGCACAACTGTTATAAGTATATGTTAGTAGAACATGCTTTAAGTCTCAAAAATAATGCTTAAAGAACATCTGTTATGAATCTATTACTATTTTACAAAAATTGGACTTAAAGTTTCGAAATTGTTATTCTAATGTTAAGACATATGTACTGTATAAGTCCAAGGAAACAATTTTCGTCGTAACAACAACAGTTATTTTCAAACAATAAAAATGCTTTTTCAAAAAAAAAATCAAAACCTGTAAAGTAGGGGGGGGGGTTTACTGCCTTCCTAAACAAAAATGTTGTAACTCGAAAAAAAAGTTGTATAAAACCGATTAAACTAAGTAAGAAACCATTTTACTTTGTTTATTCGGTTTTTTACAAAACTTTAAACAGTTAAATCAATCCAGTACAGTATAAACCAAGCACAATACAAAATAACACAGCAAAAGTGCCAACGTGAGGTCCAGTGTCTACAAATTTGAATCAAAGCGTTTTTTTGAACGCGATTTAAGCTCTTTATGCTATAATAATTGTTGTAGACTTGTGATCTACCCGTCCTACTAAACCTAATTGAATGAATAATTATTTATTATTTATTATTTACTTAATTATAATAACATTTATAATTGAATGAACATCAAAATATGTATTCGCTTGCAACCCATGTATGTACTTTCTTGAAATATCTAATTTTAATATAAGGGTGAAAACGATTAGGATCAACATCATTGACATTTTTTTATTGTTATATCTCGAAAATATTTTCATAAGGTCAAAGTGTCATTTCTTCCCTTTTTTATGGTTCATCCATAAAATAAATTGAGTTTAATTATCGTTTTTACTAATATTCATATGATTTACTTTCAATTAAAGAAAAATATATATTAAAACAATTTTTTTTTCTTGCCAGCTCTATTATTTATGATCTTATGATTAGCGGACAATAATAATCCGGTGTACACGTGGACTGGTTTTTCAATAGTTGAAGAAAAAAACAGATGTTCTATAACAAATAATCAAGTTTTTACATTATGTTTACCGCAAGCGTAAAGTTTAACGTGTTTGCGTGCACAGCGCCCGCTTTGACGCATTCGTAAAACGAACGCTCCGACACACCGGCTCGAATGAACAAAAAACAAAATCAAATGTTTACACATATGCCACCCCCGAGTATATTGACTTACTCGGTTTAAAGTTTTAAACCCAAATTCAAAGATTTCAAAGATTTAAGCGCTTACGAACGGCACAGTTAATCCCATAGCTCTGTGTATGTAACAAGTACTAGTTCTCGATTACCTGCGTCTTGCTGTAAACTGTAATTATACCAAAAATGACTCTCCTATTGAAGTGGATCGCGTCGGTTATCACCGTGTTGGTGTTGGTTTACGTGACGAACTGTGACAAACTCAAACATCTTCTGTCGTTTAGAAGAGGACGATTCAATCGGAAAGAGTGGCCGACGGTTTCGCAAGGAAATATGAGCTACCTAGAGGACCCGGCCAAAAATGTTGCCGCTATCGGCAAAGAAATCGCATGCAACGAATCGTACTACAAGACATTGTATTTGCTTTTGACGAACCCGGACTATTTTGGTTGTTCCGGAGATGTCGTCAGCTCACACGAGGAAATTGATAAATGGTATGGTGGTTGGGAGGCGAAAATGTTGTTGACGGCGTTTAATGTTGCCCTAAACGAAACCGAAATAGACGTGTCATGGCTGCTGTATTTATACGTCAAGTGGATACGAGTACACGCCGCCATAAACCCGGGCCATATAATCCCACTGGACATTCAGACTGCACACTACGGCATGTTTAAAGTGCTGCTTTGCACGATGTCTGAGAACGATTGCACGATGTTCAGCCCTTCAACCAGGGGTTTACGCCATTTCCCCGAGTACTTGGCCGACATGTTACCGCCGAAGCCGACACGTAAATTCTTTCAGAAACCTTCGGTTATGGTGCAGCATCTACTGGCCAATCACTCGAATGATCTAGATGACAACTCCGATCTGGGCTGTTTTCAAGTGGACGACGTTTTTTCTGACCCAGTTAAACCTTTGACCGAAGAACATTTGACACTGAATATGCTGTATTTGAATGTCATGTTCGAGAAACCTACTGTGATAACCAATCTGATGACAAAATTCGGAGTGTTTGAAGACGGAATACGGCTGGTCGATTATCTGAAAGCTAAAATTACCGAGATCAAAAGCGGCCGTACGTCTTTTGGCCAGTACGTTTTGGCGCTGGTGGACTTCCACGGACATGTTATGCGAGCGTTTATCACGATCATGTTGCGGATCTATTATTCATTCTTGGAAAATTTAAAACATGTAAATCATTGTCTTAAGGAGAAATCCTGCACGCCGTTTTTCGAAATCTACAAAGAGTGGTGTGATTTTTTGAACTTGCCCAAAAATAATCCTCTGTATGCCAAGCTGAGCGGTTACGATGAAAAGAGCATCGTCGAATCACAGCGACGGATAATCGAAACGTTAACGGTATTCGGCAAAGAGTCAAACATCGCCTTAAACAATTACACGGCCCAATCGATGGGAATGATCCTATTCAATGAGGACTATATTAAGACGAACGCTGAACAACACAAACTTAAGGTCAGCTCAAGATACTCAATATTGGGCGTGTGTTCCACTCGATTGCCCATTATGTGCGCCCAAGTGATAATCGAAATAATAAAAACAACATTTTCCGATATCCATTACAAAGCGTTCCAGTCGTTGGTTAATCTCGGAACGTCGGCAAATTTCAAACGATTTTCCGAATTCGAACGACAATACCAACCGAACGTGTTTTCGCGTCAAGATGAGTCCATTCTAGTTTGCGTCACCGAAACCATTCAGTCCTAATATTGTTTAACCACATCGTAAAATATCCAATGCACATGTCGTTTTATTCGACATTATAATTGTTGTTTAATAATTAAATATAAACTGGTTTGTTAATAACTTTTAATTTTTTAATGTCCACATTTATGTGTTACATATTCATATTATATATCTTATGCACAGAATAATACATTTGCACGCACTTATAAATTTTAATAAACAATTATTTAAAATGAAACTATAGCTTAACCACTCATTATCCCATTCATTTGACTCATCCGCCAAGACAACTTCTGTCTGTTTGTGGCAGTCATTAGGCGTACTTTAATAGTCCTTCCAGCGAAATTGCGTTCGGTTCAACGATTATTACATATATTATTCTTTGGCCAGCCGTGCAGTCTAAAGTCTAAACGTATTTTTAAGCTGTATGGTGTAACTGAGAGAAATAAAAAACTTAAAACTATACTGGTGTAAGTCGTAATAATCTTAATTACAGAAAACAAGATTTAATGAAAACTCTTGTATTGTACTTGAATTATAAGCTTGTAGTGTACTGCTGTATGGTGGTAGAAATACAAATATCATAAGTCAACATTTTAAAATAAAATATTAATTTTTTGTTTTGCTTGTTATTATTTGTTTTATCAAACACAAGCCATAGTTGTTCAAAAAATGGTTTTTGATTTCCGAAGAACTTGTTGTTGTAATAAAGTCACAGCAGATGTTCTTTTCATGGATTTATCACATTATTTGTGATAACAATGTCTATCGCGCGTACAAGCAAAATATAAAAACAATATCGTTCAAGTATACTTTAAAACGAATATCCCTTTTAAATTTAACATTAATTTAAACATTAATATGAAAAAAACTAAATGTGTTTTTGTTATTCACACCTAGATCATAAAAAAACCGGTACAGTGGGGTCGGGGTATAGTTGGGAGGGATAGGTCACAGGTGTACAACAATTTTTAGAGCAGCAATTGATAAAATCACTTCTGCTTCGATGCAGTTTTATAGACGTTGGACCTTACGTTGGCACGATTTTATTGTGTTGGTTTGTATTGTGCTTAGTTTGGACTGTGGTTTTAACTAACTTTTTTTTGATTCGCATGAAAGCATTTATTCGAAAGTGATTTTAGTACTTGCATACATAATAAAACTTGAAAATTTCATCGTGTCCACAATGCTCCATCCCCACTTTACCCTAACCCTTTCAGCACTAACAGACACTTTTGTGTAGGTAAATAACATGTGTACTACGTACTGTATGAAAGTTTAGCTTTGTAACAATTATCTACTAACCAACACTTTTGTGTAAGTAAAATATTATACCTCCTGAGTCCTGACATTTTTTTTGGACTCCAAATATCACAATATTTTTGATATTGTCTATTTAGATCCACATTATAGTTTAAAAAATATCACAAAAAATATATTTGGTGTGATAGTTTTTTCAAAAATGTTTCATCAAATTTGCCCTTCACTTTATACTGGGATGGTAAAGGTGATCTGTAATTTTGAGATGTGCTATGGGGTTCCGGATTTTCTTCAGTGGATGAGTCGTATGTTGGGGTCGTTTATTCTTTACAGAAGCAGATAACCAATCACGTGCTATTTCTATTTTGAATTCCATTAAATCCTTTATATCTTTTTGAGGGATTCGCATTTTCGTAGCATCTTGTCTATATTCCATCCAGGCATTAACTATAGCAAGATCGATGAAATATAAAGCAATTTTTAAAGTCCGTTTTTTAGTTTTTACCCATGTTCGATACGCTTCTAACTGTTGGTCACATACATAAACTCCACCCATATTCTGGTTATAAGATTTAATTGCCGATGGGCAAGGGACATCTAATTCTCTGCTCTACTTTACTCCATCTCCTTACTAATGTAGATGGTTCTGCCCCTGTAGCTGTTGAAACAACAGTGACGCATTTACTATCTTTCCATTTAATAGCCACTACTTGTTTATCAGTCCGAGTAAATTCATCCCAAACACCTTGTCTAAATTTTTTTTCATTACTAAAATGTACATTTTTAAGGCGATTGTTCATAATAGTTCCTGTTGCCTTCATACCCATTTCATTTAACCGATCTAATAATGGGATGGTAGTGAAATATCGATCAAAAAATAAAACTGAATTTTTTGGAATTGTGTTTATTAATCTTAGTACAACCGCTGGGCCTAATCCAAGAGATCTATCATCTAATCCCGTATGCGGCCCTTGATAAATTTCAAAGTCTACTACAAGACCTTTTGAAGTTGTTACAACAAAGTTTTTCAGTCCAACTGGTCTAGGTTTATTTCTGACGTATTGTCTATAAGGACATCGTCCAGTAAATGGGATTATTTGCTCGTCTATTGAGTAACAACCTACTTCACGAGGTATACTTAAGCAAGCGTTACGTACAGCGTCAACGTTTAGTTTCATTTTCCAAAATCGATCAGCGTCTTGTGGGCGATTATTAACATCAACAAAATATAAACAAGAACGCAATAAAAAAAACCTATCCCTTGTGATGGCTTGAGATATTGCTTCAAAATTTATACCTCTTTGCCAGTACATATGAATACGAGGATACTTAATAACACCAATCATCGCGCGAGCCCCATAAACGACTTTTATTTCATTAGCACTAGTTTTAAGTTCCTTTCCTAATTTAGACATAGCGTACATATTAGTGTATAAAGCTACTTGATCGAAATGCGATTCTGGAAAATATTTTGAAATATAACTGTAAGCTGATTTAATAGTTTGAAATGGATGAGGAACATATATTTGGTCAGGTAACTGAATGCTGTTAAATGGAGTTTGTGTCCAATCAGTATTTGGTAAAATACGTTGGTATCAAGGTTGTGGAAGGACAGATTCCGGTTGACGTTGTGGAAGTAAATTAGAACATTGGGGTTGAGAAGACATATCTGTTGGTGGTTGTTCAATTTCATTCAAATCAAAATCACTGACCTGTCCTATTTCGTAGTCGGAAATGTCTGATTCTCCTATTTCATTATTATGTGCTCCAGGAGGAAGCCAATTTTGATCAGCAACTGAATCATCACTAAAGTCGTCGACTTCCGAGTTATCAGATAAAAAAGATAGTATTTGATCTTGAGTTACTTTCCTTGGCCTCATATTTAAAGAGCTCAAAAAGATTTAAATGAAATAGTCAAAAACGCCAATAAAATACAACACTATGAAATAATAATAATAATACCAAACCAACCTACACAAATGTGTGTACAAATATAACCACCTATACTAGTCAAAGTGTATACGATAACTGTCCTGCAGTTATACCACTGGATTGGTCATTACATTTCGCTATGAGACATTGTTTACAAATATAGTTTTAGATAAATAAACTGGCATTTTATAATGATGGAAATAACCATTTTTGTTATTGTCTGGAACCGATATTTAAAAATAAATTTTATCGTACATAAACTTCAAGTATTAATGTTATTTCTTGCAATTTTATAGCACGTGCAACACACTATTGTGTGGTATAGGTATGCTATCTCTGCGTAGTTTAGTTTAATTTTAAATATTTTTTTAAACTAACCCACACATGTGTGTATGTACGGTTGCAGTACTCATGAAAATAAAAACAAAGGTCAGGACGCAATACTGTATACATTTAACTACACATATGTGTTGTTCAGTACGCAAATACTAAACAACTATTTTGCTACTTGGTGCTGAAAGGGCTAACCTCATTGGATAGGTTTTTTTTTCGAAAAAACAAATTTATTGTTTAAACGTAAACAATAATTTCGAACGTAAAGCCCCATTTGTAAAATCGTCGTGTATTGAATACTTAACCAAGATATAAAACAAAAATGTTGAGATAATTTAGCAAATAGACGATACAAAATATCTATCAAATGTAATAGTACCTAGAAATATATTGTTATTGTCATATACTGCTTATACTTTTACTTGTACAGCGCTTATGACAGTTGTTTTGTTTTTGGAATTTTGATTACAACACGACTTTTAGTTAAGCTTACATACTGTCTTTTGATGAAGATAAATTAAAATCTAAACTAATATTTTATGTTTTAGCCTATGCTTGGGAAAATTTATTTATTTTTCGGTGTGTCTTGTCCTAGGTGACTTCTTCGATATGTAAATCATTTAGATATGTGGTTTAGGACTTATTTTTTAAATATATTTGCCTCGACGTAAAATAACACATTTTATTATTAAATTTAACACATTATCATACTTTAAGCTATATTTCATGTGTGTCCAATTAAAGCCAAAAGGCACTAACTTTTCTGGAGCGCACAAAAACTTTAATTCTCTAGCGTACAACCGTGTGAGGAATTACACTCTTGCATAACCCTTGTAAACTTTATATGGAGAATTTTTAACCGCTTTTAATGCCTTTTCGTATGGCTTGTGACAAAATCAGATTCTATACGTGCTCGACTTAATAGCTTGAAAATCACAAGGCCATAGTTCTGCAATCATTTAATTGAACACAATACTAGTATACACATAAAAATGTAAATAACAATTTTTTCAATCTATAATGGTGTTTAACTCGTTTGTGTATTTATTCATAAAGAAAAATCAACAAGTCAACAGCCCGAATAAACAAAAGACATAATTAAATTAGTACCACAGTCGTAGAACCGAGTTTAAATTAATATAAATTCGAAGAACGACTCTTATACGGTTAGGTAGAAATATTGACGGCTGACAAATGCAAACGTTTTACTATGAAACGATGGTCAGACAATAATTGGAAATTTGAAATAATTGATATTTTCAAACGCGTGGAAAACAAGGTACATTTTAATTATTATCACTGTCTGCAGTTGACGTGGTATAGTATTTTTTTCAAGGTCATATGTGTACTAGATTTAGCTGTTGAAATCGCTCCAGAAGATCCATAGTTCGGCTGGAACAAACACACATAACGCATACTTGTATTATTAATTAGTGGATGATAGGTATTATTAAAAAAATATTTACATAAATAGCAAAAATAAAAATTATTACTATTTAATTTTTGTTTAATAAAAAAGTTTTTCGGTAATCCGAGAGTTATTTAGTTTTGTTCGGTTTTTAAGTTTTAATAATATTATAATGTATTCTAAATAAATGGATATGAATACAACAAACC